GAAGTGCTGAGGTTACAAATGTGAGCCACCATGCCTGGCCCATTTTTGTTGTGTTTTTTTGTTGTTGTTTTTGTTTAAATCTTGCAAACTTGCTTGTGGCACACATAGCAGACAAAGGAAATGTTTGATGCATTAATCAGTGGCTGATCATCAAAAACTGAACTGGATGATAGTCTCCTGAAACTGAAACCTAAATAATTTTAAACTTTATCCAAGCTTTCTTGGAAATTATTATACACATAGATTGGTAAGATGTTTAGTAGATTTTTAAGTAAAATAATTCTGAGTTTAATGTTGAGTTTTAATGGGTAAATATTTGATATTAAAAGGTGAAATATTAAGATAATTATATACTCACTTTCCTATCTTAGGTTTGTAAATTATCAAAACATAAAAGTAAATAATGTTATAGTGTTTAATGCTTTGCATTTATTAAAAGAACTTCATTTAATATTGTTTACATTGCATATTTTCATTATTTCCTGTATGAACATTTTTCTCTTGAGTCTAAATGAACTTCTCACTTAGGCAGTGAGTAATAGAAATAGCAAGAGCGCTGTAGAGGAAATAGCTTGCCTTGCTGGTTTGGAAGAAAAAAAAGAAAGAAGGAAAAAATGAAGGAAGGATGGTAGGAAGGAAATGAGAGAGAAAGAAGAAAAGAAAATGGCAAAGGAGAGGGAGGCAGGGAAGGAAGGAGAAAGAAAAAGGGAGAGAGGGAAGGAGGAAAAAGCTCTGACATTTACACATATATTTATATTTGTATATACTTCTATGTATACATATAAGTAATTATATATATATCCATAATTAAGGCATAAACATCTAAGATCACCTAGGCAAAGGACTGGAAGTCTTCTTCTCTAACAACTTTCACCCATGACTTTTTATTTAATCCCTCTAGCCATTATCCTTAGATGATTACACTAAGTCCGTGGTTTCACCTGCCACTTCTGTATGTTTAGAATTACCATATCTGTAATTATAACCTCTCTTCAGAGTATCTTTAAGCTCTTTCACAATTATTTCTCAAATAAGACATAAGAAATCCAACAAGAAATATATTACTTTTCACCTTCCCCCATTAAAAAATATTCTCCCAACTGTCAAAAAATAGACACAATAGGAACCATAGTCATCCAAAAAAATGCCAACAGTTTACCAATTATCATCCAAACATATCAAGAGGAAACACACTCCTCACAACTTGGTTTTCTTCTCTGCTGTTATCTTGTTCCTGTTAGTTCAGAATCCAGTATTATTCTAGAACATGAGAGTAGCTTATTACAGACACAAAGAAAAAAATGAGAAATCTGTGAGCAGGTTGAGATATATTTCAATATAAAATTAATATTTTAGATCTATTTTTAGCTATTGTGTTATACTAATGGTTGACTTATAAGTAGAAAGTCTACTATAGTGCATTGCTATGTAAACAATATTTTACTAGTTATTTCTATGAAGAAATACAGAAGTAGAAGATACTGGAATAATATCAAGATTGCAGAACTCTAAATTTCCTAAAAAATGCTTTGTTAGAAAAAAGGTACATCACTGTAATTACAATATATTTTTGCAATAAAAGCTATTGTATGTAATTGTCCAAATGTCATAATCTCATAGATTCCACAAGAAAAAGTATTTCTTCTCTGAGATGACTAAATGATATTATAACCTGTGGCATAACACAGTGAGAAGCGTATTAAGCTTTTTAAAGTCACAACTAAATTTGTTGTAATGTTAAATTAATAAATGCCTTTGTTAGCCTATTTTGGCATAGATTCAATTCTATTGTTGTTTATTTAGTAAAGTTTAAAACATGTGTGATAAACATCTTCATATTTAATTATAAAAACATCATAAGATTTTAAATTGAAATTTTATCAGAATGGTAATTCAGTAACAGATTAAGGGTAAATATTAATAGTTTTAACATTTTGCCAATGGTGTAATAAAATAATTGATGAAATGAGTTAAAATGTAATCCAAATAAAAAGAAAGACACCACTAATCTAAGCACAAAACACAAGACTTTCAATATCTTGATTTCTTTACTTCATTGCTGCATCTACAATTTCTAGCGGGTCCATAGAAGTTTGTAAACCCACGTATACCTAAAATTTCTTGGGCAATAAAATGTTTTCCTTTTCATCAAGCACCCTTTGAAATGATTTAACACACCAGAGAGGACTTGTATCCATTCCCAGAAGAAATTCAGCATCTTCTTCAATATTTTACGATCCTCATATTATTTGCTATTGAGCAGACAATAACAACAAGCTATTCTGAAATCTAATGTGTGCTTTAGTTTTTTTCTTCCTCACTAGACTAAAGGTATGAATAGAAAGCTCAAAATTCTACATTTAAAGCTTTTTCAGAGTATATGTACATTTCATTATAGACAATCTGAAATCCATCGGCTATTTACTTAAGACACTATACAAAGAGTTCTTCTTTGTTTAGAGTTACTGAAATATTAAGTTTGCTTTGCAGACTGAGGAAATAGAATTTCTGTTATCTCAGAACATGGGTAAAATATCCAAAATGCTTTGTCTTTTTTTGGCTAGTAGCCTTATAAGGAAATAGATGTAGTATGACATTTAAAAATCTGAAGAGAATGAGCAATTAAGATGATTCTTTAAAAACCAGCACTGAGGCCGGGCGCGGTGGCTCAAGCCTGTAATCCCAGCACTTTGGGAGGCCGAGGCGGGTGGATCACAAGGTCAAGAGATCGAGACCATCCCGGTCAACATGGTGAAACCCCGTCTCTACTAAAAATACAAAAAATTAGCTGGGCATGGTGGCTCGTGCCTGTAATCCCAGCTACTCAGGAGGCTGAGGCAGGAGAATTGCTTGAACCCAGGAGACGGAGGTTGCGGTGAGCCGAGATCGCGCCATTGCACTCCAGCCTGGGTAACAAGAGCAAAAACTCTGTCTCAAAAAAAAAAAAAAAAAAAAAAAAAACAGCACTGAGTTTCAGCATGGTTTCTTGTAAATATGTCTATATGTTTGTGAAAATACATATATCATATAAATGTATAATATATATCATATGTAATATATATTATGCAATTTATAATATGTGTATATGTGTTTGTACACGAATATCTGTTTACTGAGAACATGCTCAATAGCGGCACTCACTTATGGATGTGTATTAGATAAGGATAAAACTGTTTCTTAAAAAGCCATTCATTTATTGGTTTTTAGTGCAATAGATATTTGGAATAAATTATTCTAAAATGAAATACTGAGTTCATAATTTGGAATAAGAAATAGAGGCCATAAAATGACATCAGATGTCTTCTAAATAAATATTAATGATAAAAAGTGTTCACAATGCTGGCTCTGCAGCCTGTTCATCTGGATAAATCTCAGTTTCACCACTTACCAGCTGTTGGGTTTTGGATGAGCTACTTAAACTTTCTTCTAAAATTATTCTGTGTTCAAATCTGATGCCCTTTTTCTTCCTGGGTATAAAAGAGGTCTACATGTTTTAATGTCTTACAGACTGTAGGAATGAAAGGGATGTGATGAGTTCTGACCAGTGAGCTGAGTGGAAGCAAAATGTGTCCAGTTTGGTTAAGCCATTTCATAGCTGCTATGAGATCTCCATGTTTACTCCTTCCTTCCACAGTGACACTAAAAGCTAAGAACTGGACATGAGGAGTCACTTGCAATGGTCTTTCTTAATTTCTGAACAAATGAGGTTTATATAGCTTATTGTTGTTCAGGCTGTACAAGAAGCATGCCAGTAGCATCCAATTCTGGTAAGGGTTTCAGTTTACTTCCACTCCTGGTGGAAGGTGAAGAAGAGCCAGTGTGTACAGAGATTACATGGTGAAAAAGATCAGCCTGATCCTTGAGTGAAAATAATATGGAGAATAACAATAGACATGCAATATGAGTAAGAAATAAACCTTGATTGTGTTAAGCTGCTGAGAGTTTGAAACTAATACATAACTTTGCCTAGTATACTCACTGTGTACTATGTAGTTTGGGTATTTGTCACCCACATTGCCTGTTGAAATTTGATCCCCATGTTGGAGGTGGAACCTAAAGGGAGAAGTTTGGGTCCTAGTGGAAGATCCCTCATGAACGGCTTCTCAGGGTAGTGAGTGAGTTCTTGCTCTTTCTCACAAGAGCTGATTGTTAAAAAGAACTTGGCACCTCTTTATTCTCTCTCTCTCTTGCTGCTTCTCTCGCCAGGTGATCTCTGCACACGCTGGATCCCCTTCACCTTCCACCGTAGGTGGGAGCAGCCTGAAGTCTTCACCAGAAGCAGATGCTGGTGCCATGGTTCTTGTACAGCCTGCAGAAACATGGCCAAATAAACCTCTTCTCTTTATGAAGTACCCAGTCTCAGGTAATCCTTTATAGTAATAAAAATAAACTAAGACATTGTGCCTCGATTTTGCCATCTATAACTGGGATGATAACAGTACCTAGTTATGTGATTGGTTGTCAGCAAAATTTTACTGAACTAAGGGATTAATACAGCTTTGTAATTCTTATTAATAAGAGCAGTTTATATATCATTTATTTAATTGATTTTAAATTCTAGAACATTTCATGTGTCATAAAGTTCAAACAATATACACCTAGTTCACACTTTCTGCAATGCCTACCAACTCAAGTTTTTTTTTTTGAGACGGAGTTTCACTCTTGTTACCCAGGCTGGAGTGCAATGGCGCGATCTCGGCTCACCGCAACCTCCGCCTCCTGGGTTCAGGCAATTCTCCTGCCTCAGCCTCCTGAGTAGCTGGGATTACAGGCACGCGCCACCATGCCCAGCTAATTTTTTTGTATTTTTAGTAGAGACGGGGTTTCACCATGTTGACCAGGATGGTCTCGATCTCTTGACCTTGTGATCCACTCGCCTCGGCCTCCCAAAGTGCTGGGATTACAAGCTTGAGCCACCGCGCCCGGCCTCAAGTTTTAAAAAGTCTGAAATTTTGCCTTAATATAAAATGGCTCGAATCAGGTATATAATATTTTTTCATATAAAATATTGCATATTGACAGCAATAGCCCAGTTGCGGATTTATTGATACTATCTTTGACCTTTAGAAACTTTTTTTTCTATTATACATAAGAAAATATCAACTAGGTAATAGGAATAAATGAGAAACGGTGGAGAGAGACAATAATGAAGACTGGTAGGCGTTGGAGTACAAAAGGTTACTGTGGGATTCTTCTAGAATGCTGATTACAGCTTGATCTTATCAAGGTCTGGCATGGAAGACCACTTGAATTCATCTCCAACCCTGGGAGCGAAATAAGAACTTTCTTTTTTGCTTCTGAAATTTTAAGCTCTTTACAGACACACTTTTTACTTAATCTGCATGACATCAGAGAAAGGTATTATTTTCTGTACTTTGCAGATAATGAAAATATGCTATAAGCCACAGAAAGAATAGAGAGTCACTGGTTACCCAAAAGCACTGACTCCATGGGGAAAGCAACCCTAAGGTCTTCATTTCCATTCAGTTGCCCATTTATTGCTAACTCATTTGTACGCTAGAGACAAATATGAAAAGAACAGTTTTTCAAAGCAGAGAAAAAGAAAACGTTTTCTCTGGAGAAGCAAATAATTTTTACATTATTTTCATTTTGCAGAACTTTAGGGAACAATTTGACCAAAGAAAGAAGAAAAGGTGGACTAGCAGATCTCATATATCAACAGTCTCTGGATGGTGGGAGGTCCATTCAGCAGAAATAAAAATGAGCATACAATGTTTCTAATGTATTTAATTTGGAGAAAAACATTTTCCTTTTTTTAATAAACAAAGTTAATCACATATTTTACCTCTGGTAAAAGAATATTAATTAAATTGATTATGCTCACATTAGAGAACAATATAACCTATCATGGTCAAATAACATTTATGTTTATATTCATTATTACAAGCATTAAAAAGAAATAAATAGTGTTGTGGCAGACACAACTTTAACAGGCAGAGTCTCCTGTATCTGGAAGTTTATCATCTATACTGCTAGAGAGACTTGAGGATATTTTAATAGTACTTAATTAACTAAAATTTAAGAGATTATTGCTTTCAGCCATTTAAAAATTATTAATTGAACATTGACTATCTGCCTGGTATGTGTTTACCATTATCCATTAAGAGCTTGTTATTTAGTTGGGGAAATCCAAGTCAAGATACAGTAAATACTCAAGAAACTTAGCAAACATTTGAATTAAAAAATGACACCCATATTTTATGGTATATTTATAGTATTGTTTGTAAAACAATAAGAAAAACCATTAATATCCCCCTCCAAAAATAAATGGAAGAAATTTTCCATTTTCAAAATTATTAATATTCCCATCAAATAAACACTATTTTGACCTATCCTATTGGAAATAAATAAACTCTTTTATCCAAGAATGATATTTATTGAAGAAACGAGTACGCTTATATACTTCCAATGCTAATAAAAATAACTAAAATTTCTGGAGTTATTTTTTAAACATACCAGAAAGTCTTAAAATTTTACATTCCAGTTAAAACATATATTCAATATTTAGTAATTCATGCTAAATTATCATAAATATTTTCAAAGATGTGAATAAAATAAGCCTCACTGAAAATATATTTATATAAAATATTGAAACAACTAAAATGTTCATATCCATGCTACAAACTGATATGATGAAATTCTATTCTGTCCAAAAATGATATAGAACAATATGTAAAGACATGCAAAATGATCATAACTTATATGAAACATAAATGAGATGATTTTTAAAATCTTAGTTCAGTAAAAACTGAGAGAAATCAAAGTCGATGTGGATGAAGGCACCAAAAAGTGGAATGAATAAAATCACATACACTGGACTGTGAAGAAAATAATGTTTTTTAGTAAAGCAACCCACACAATACAAGAATTTTTCATTGAAAAAAAATTCACTGGCGTAGGTACAGAAATAGCAATAATTATATAGTGTATAGGAAATAAAAAGGATCATGGTTTAATTTGAATGAAAATGAATAATTGGAAGGAGAAGGCAAAAGGAGAATATAATTAAGATTATTACAGCTAGCATTTATTGAACTGTACCAAGAATTGTGATTAAACAGTTTAAATACATTTACTTATTAAAATACATACCACTACTCATTGAGGTAGGTAAGTACTCTTAATCCTGTTTTGCAGGACAAAGTGCAGAGAAATGGTTGACTGAGAGTTCTGGAGGCAACTTGCCTTATTTCCTGTCTCAGCTCCTTCACTATTGGCTGTGAAAGCTGGGCAAGTTACATAGCTGCTTTTTGAGTCTTATTAAAATAATGATAATAACAGTACCTAGCTCAATGATTGCTATGAAAATTAAATAACACATATAATGTTATAACACTGTCTAGCAAATGGTGTTATAAAAATTTACTTTTATTTTTTAAATTTTATTACATATAATTATTACAAGTACATAATAGTTGCATGTATTTATGGAGTACGTGTGATGTTTTCATACAAGCATACAATATGTCATAATCAAATCAGGGTAATTGGGATATAAATTGATTCTTCAAAATTCTAAGTAGTGTTCAAGGTAACACCACTAGTAAGTAACTTTCAGAACGGGGACTTGAAGCAAGGTCCATGTGATCACAAAGCCTGGGCTCATGCTGTCCCCTTGGTCCATACCCATAGACTACAGTGAAATGCCTTTTCATACCTTGGAAATAAGGGAAAATGTCTTTTCCTCTGATTTGACACACAATTAGAACAGAAGCATGAAAGAGCTCTTCGAAGAAGAGAGTGGTTTTCAGACCTCAGGCTTCCCACGCCCTGAGAAAGGTTCTGTGTTTTAAAAATCATGTCTTCATTCGCAGAGACTTAACCAGCTTTTGAAACTGAAAGAAGAGTATCCCAGAGGAAATATGCATGGAAGCACCGAGAAGCACAGAGGGAATCAAAGCCAAATGACTGTAAGTATCCCATCTCCATCGGCTGAGTCCTTCAAGGGTTTAACCTGCTGTGAATAAACATTTTATTCATTCTACAGTTTGATTCCCCTGGTTCTTCTTTGGCTTCTCACTGTGATCTGTCTTCAGAAAAAAAGTGCAGTGACCATGGTACATGAATATGAAAGTCTTTGTAACGTATTTTCATGCACATCGATTTTCTGTACCAATCTTGTTAATATGAATAATTTAAGTTGACTACATATTTTATTGTTTAAACCATAGTACTTTAAGAATAAAAGGGAACCCAATCAATGCCATGGGAAAACAGGCTGTAAACAAACTCTCATGGGAAATTTGGGGTTTATTATCAGGCTAGGTCAGTATGACTTAATGCCTGAGATTCTAAAATATTCTCTCTATCCTCTCTCCTTGCCCAAATTCAATTTTTCAACCTATAGACTGTATAGCCTAATAGACTCAGGGTAATAGTGCTTGAATTAAGGTAATGCTTGATAGGATTTAAATGATGGCTGTGTGGTCTTGGATAAGGTACATAATGCTTTAAGCTATAATTTTCCCAGTTTTAAATTGCAAATAATGATACCTATCTGTAGGAATTTATATACAACACACATAGACACACACATACATATTCACATACATATGCTACATATACGTACACATACACATAAATATGTTAGTCCAGTGAATACTCAAAAACTAGCAGCTGTTATTATATTTCAGCACTCTAATTGCCACCCTCTGAGGCCTCTTGTGAGTCAGGCAGTTGACTTTTCTCAGGCAACAGTGCTCTGTTCAACTCTGTGCTTTTTTTCAAACTTCTACATCTGCTATGTTCCAAGAACAGTCAGTCCTCTATGTATTAATATGGTGAGAACAAAGCCATGTACCTCAGTTCTGCCTTCCACCAGCAGTTGGTAATAGTAGTTGGTTTCATAGCAGTTTGGATGTAGAAATAAATATACTTTTGCACTTTCTTTAAGTAGCTAATATGTTTGTTACTATGGATATTTCTGTTTTGTGCTAGAAGGATTATCATATGTAGATTGTCGAGGGGAACAGGTCATTTTGTGCAAGAGGAAATAAAAATCTTTAGGCATCAGATTTCACCTAGGGAGAAAAAACTTTTCAACTCTAGAAAATGTTCCCTAATTACAGGAAAATTTGGGGATGCATAAAATTTGAGGGCGTTGGAAGTGGAATTGGAAGGTCTAAATATAGAAGTGGATGACTAGAATTGCAATGAAAGGACTCCCCAGTGAGAGAATATAGAAAGAAAAAGAAACAACCTTTGGAGAAACTGCTAACCTATAATTAAAAGGTGATAAGAGGAGCAAGAAACCCTAGCAAGGACAAAAATAGGATAGAGATATAAGGTACACAATTAAGTGTAGTGCCACTGAAGTCAGGGTAAGTGGACTATGAATGTGCAAAGGACTTGTAAGAAAAGCAGTTAACAAGAACAGTGTGGCACCTTCTCTGTTGATATGACACTTCTTTAGTGTCTGGTAACTCCTGAGAAATATGGCATTCATTTGCCAAAATCTGTTGGAGGGAAAATATAAAGTTGAGTCAAGATTTCTAGTATTTTTTGATAAATGGTTTTAAGTGATAAGTGAAAACCTGTTTTTGCTGAAAAGCTCACTGCTGCTGTAACTATGATATTAAGGAGGTCTATTGTAGGCTGTGTGTAACACCTCAGAGAGCCTTTGGCAATGATGCAGATTTAAAGGATCCAAGCTAGCCTATTTGAGCTTTTCTTAAATAATATATGGCTGTGTGGAGATGGCGACTTGAATCGACCTGGATCCAGAAATCCCACAGAAATGCTTCAGTAGTCACACCCACAGCTGTCAAGGATACCTGAGGTCTCCCAGCTTTATGACGGGTGTACGTTGTGTGTAAAATGCCTTTTATGATCATTACTGAATGGTTAACAAGCCCTCGCAGGACTCTAATAGATTTGGATTTTTTTGGAGAGGTATTGAAATACAAAGTGGCAGTAACTGTGCTTTATTTATTTTTTTAAAGAAAGCACACCATGTGTATCCACATTTAGAATAAGAATAGTTGCTCCTGTAGAGAACATGTGTCGTGCTGGCCAGGCACAGTGGCTCATGCCTGTAATACCAGAACTTTGGGAGGCAGAGTTAGGAGAATTATTTGAGGTCAGGAGTTTGAGAGACTATATGCCATGCTATGGCACATTTTAAAAAGTTTTAATTATTTTTATTTAAAGAAAAATACCATACAAATATTTTTTCCCATAGAAATCTCCCAATCTTATTTTATCTAGTTTTTTTGTGCTTTGTCTATGTGACTGTTAAATTGCACAAAATCTAAATTCTTATCTACATTTGTTTGACATTTTGAATTCTAAAAGAACATATGAATATTTAAAATAAAGCTACTAATAAAATTTTATTATTAAAAACCAATGACTATTCATATTTTGTTTAAATCTAGTTAATGCAGAATTTATCTACTCATAAAGAGAAGCAATCCACAAAAAATCTGTTATTATTGTATTCCAAATAAAGTTAATATCAACTTGACCAAATTTTAATATTATCTACAATTGAGAAATGGTGGGCCTTTAGGATATTTACAATTTTATTATCATGAAGCACATTATTTTCTCCAAGTAAATGTTTTATTGCCATATAATTCTAAACTGTTAATAAAAATTCTGTTATAAAACCCACATTCTTTTCTTGATAATTCAAATAATTTGGAAAAAAGAGAGTACTCATCGTTTCAGAAATATAGCTTATGTACATTTTTATTGAAGTTTTTAATTGTTTAATTTTTCCAGATGTTTGGTATTTTTGAAATGGTTCTGTTACTATCAGATTATATGCATTATTTATAATGTGTACATATTCCATATTCATTATTCAACATATGTGCTTGCTTCAGTGAATATTAGAATATCCCCTATATTTGTTTTAAAAAGACTCACCAACATTATAATAAACTAACTCAAGTTTTCCTTGTTCCTCCTAACTTAGCCACTTCCAAAGCTGTGTGACCACAAGCAACCTACTTAACCTCTAAAAGCCTTCTATTCCTCATCTGTAAAATGGGGTTATCATTAAGTTGCAGCGATTTTGTGAATATTCCATGCAATGCCCACCATGCACTTGGTGAAAGTTAGGTGCCGAATATTGCTGGCTGTTAGCAGTAAATGAAATTGAGGTCAGCAACCTCTACTCTCCTTCTAAAAAGATATCAAGAAAGAAGCAGCTAGTGATCGTAGCTATTCATATTTTCGCCATGATAATATAGACTACGTAGATCACTGACAAAGTCTTTCACTGACCCTGTGATACTCATTCAGTGCTTTTATATATACCACACACACTGAGATTAGAACAGTCATACAGTTGTTAACAATCGCACTTTAGACTCACGGAGTCAGATAAAAAGAGATTTTTATCAAGCCAGTCAAAAGATCTGTTGATCTGTATAAAAACATTACTTGAGCATAAATTTTCATTAAACTTTCCCATATGTAACATTTAACTTTGTGAGAATGAGAAATAGGTATCTGAAGAAATACACGATCAATCTCCTAAAAGAAAATTTAAAATTCTTCCTCTCCTTCAATAGAGTTGTTTTGGCCCTGACCTAATTTCTATGCTAATTCATAGGGTTTATGATTGCTTTATTCTCAGCACAGCCTGTATTTTTTCCCTCTTTCAAATCTCCCAGGGACTGACTCCAGGAAGTAAGGCATATGTATCATCAATAAACTGCATTTAGTTCACTGTTCTTTATTCAGCAGCTCCTGATCCACTTTGTGGATTTTCTGTGCCCTTCATTTCTTTTCCTCCTCAACCCCACCACCTTTCTTTTGAATGATTTTACTGCTCATTATCACCTCGACCAGAAGTGAGAAGGAAGAATGTGAAATTAAAATGAGTTGAAAATGACTTTTATAATTTATTTTCAGCATAAGGAGGAAAAGTTGAAAATGTTAGCCAAAATTAGGCCTGGGGTTTTCTAATGACTCCACATAGTTATTTTTATCCCTGTTAAAGTGATGCTAATTGAATTCTGAAATGAAAGGACCCTTCCACCCTATCATATTCTTTCCTATCGGAATGTATAGGGAAAGAGGAGGAGAAATGTAAAATCTATTTATACAAAGTTTTCCAAAACATAAAAAAAAGTAGTCATTAGGACAGAATAATGCTCACAAAGGTCCCATTTAGGAGTTGCACAGTACAGCAGCAAATGTTTAGAATACAAGTTTTATAGTAAATTAGCTCATTTGCACCCTCTTCGTGCAAGTATGTAAATGTATGTTTATTTACTAAATTAACTGTCCAGATTTTTCAGCAAAGGCCTCATTGCTGATTCCCTATTAGTCTCACTATTAATTTTTGAATCTTGTAGGGAAATGAAATAGGATTGTTTTAAGTTAGTCTGATATATTTAAAAAGTGATTACATCGGTGGTTACTTAAAAATATTTGTAAATTTAAACAATGAATAAAATAAATAAACATTAGAGTAACTCTAAGATCAACACTTTTGATCTTAACCATAGATGATTTTAAAAATAGACTGCTTTTATAAGTTATCCTCTAATGTCAGAGCAATCATGAAGCCAAACTCTAGTACTATTATAAGAAATAGGAGTATTTTCCTAACTTGAATCTGCTATAAGTCACCTCTTACCATCAACTAAGATGTAAAATGAGGGCTAACTAGGTGATCCTTAAAATTACCCAAGCCTTTTCAGTACTTTCAAGTATACACACAGCTATACACACATTATATATTTTACGTTTATATATTAGGAGAGGATCTAAGTCAGCCAAACAGCTTAGACAAGTGGTATCCTTGTGTATGTATCTATTTAGGAAATAGTAAAGGACTAAAGAATGGTTTCTTTCAAAAAGGTGTCATAAAACACATCTTTGCCTCTGATTTTTTTTTAATTTTAAATAAGTGATAAATATTTGCAGAATAGAAATACATTTAAATGTATGCAGACCCTGTATTTTCCCATTCAGATGAGAAGGGCATACGAGAGTAGAAAGATCACGTATTTTGAAGGTCACAGATCAGGCTCTGGACAAGCATGTTGTGTATGGCTATAAAGCTGGCATAATAACTATATTATAAAACTGTGATGAGGATTAACTAAATTACATATGTCAAGCACTAGTAACATGTTTAAAACATAATTGGCACTAAATAATTAATTTATTATTCCTCGAATATTATATAGGTTACTAAACCTTGGTAATTGAATCAAAAAACGAATACAGATATATTTCATTGTATATATATTTATTATATATTCCATTTATATGTGGTATATTTTGTACTTGTAAAAGGGACTTCTAATATTAAATATTCTATTAACAAGACAAAAATGAAATGGTCTTAAAATAAGGTAATATTCTATATTTACATTTATTTGCAATTATGAATTAACCAGAACATGTACATGGTTATGGTTCAAGATAGGTTTAAATATCTGTGTACATATTGATTACATGAAATTTTGTGTACACCACAATATTATTAAACTAATCTAAATAGTAGAAGTAGAATTAATTGAAAAAATATAAAAACTAAAAATATAAAAACTAAATATATAAAACTACCTGTAAAACATAGTGCTTCAATTTTTTAAAAGATTTAAAACACAGAAAGTTTAAAGATGGTCTCTCGATAGATACTTAGAATCATGCTCATATCTCTATAGTGGAGATAATCAAATTACAAGAAGGTTTGTAGTACATTGAAAAATAGTAACTTTTAGTGACAGAATGCAATAACTAGTAATCAAGTCAACCTGTGTATCAGCATGCAGTATCTGTTAATGCCAGATATGAAGTAAGCCATTTCATGCATATACACGCATGAAGTGTGCAGGGGTGTTTTTCTAGGAAATTGAAACAAAGAAGGGTGATAAACTGTCTAAAGTCACACAAGAACTTAGCAGCAACCCAGGGAATGCAATCCACTTCTCTGGTTCAGCTCAGTGTACCATCTATTGTATCCTGCTGTTTTTCTTGTCTACAGAAAAAATAGGCTTGGAAGGCATATAATCTAACCATTCTTCCAGATCGATTTTTACAAAACACCTGGGAAGCAGGCCCAGAGCAATTGAGATGTCTAAGAAGTTCATAAGTATTATTTTCAAGGGATTAATAGCATAGAAGCTTTCTGAGTCATTGTTAGAAATATGTGACACCAGAAGGTAGGTCACAGGCTGGCATCATAAGGAATAAGAGTTTAGGAATGCTTTCACAATGCCCAGAGAAGGGATACATGAGAAGAAAGAAGTCTACTTAGTCCTTTTTATTTCTTTTAAGCCCAATCCAGTGTGAACCTGTGTAAAACCTTTGGATTTTCAGAGAGGAAAGATAATACCAAGTAGTTCAGTGAATGGTTTGAAATACGATGTGTAAGGTATTGCTCAATATTATGCCAAGATCTCCCAGCCTTGATGACAAACTTCCACCATGCAGGGACTTTGCAATCACCATAGTCACTTAAAGAGCAAATGAGGTTGTTATTGTCACTTCAAACATTATTTCCAAGATGTGTTCAATTCTCATGTTTCAACGTACATGAAGAATTTTTGCTGTAATTCATGTTTATGCTTTTTAGAAACACTCTAGAAAAATCATGGGCAAATTGGTAAATTTAATTTCTTTTCAACTTTACAAAGGGAGGAATGATAAGAACGCTCAGCTGGGTGATATAGTCAGAAAACGAAGATTCTGCTGGCTTGGGATGGGGAAAGACTTCAAAGAGGAAGTGCATCTGTAAGTAGGGAAAAGGGAAAGTAATGGTTCAGGGAAAATTAAAGACTTGGGAAAATAATTACAAAGAGACAATGTCACTTCACTTGGACTACTATCGTAAACAATAGCTCCTGTACAATGTCCTTATAACAAAGGAAAAATAAAGAAAATAGTTGCTTACGTTTTCACCCAAAAGGTGGATGATCTTAACTTGTTGGAGAGGGCATGAGCTGTGAGTGAATGAACAGCCCACCCTGTCGCTCTGTCTAGATGGGGAATTGTTTCGGTTTGCAAGTCCTCTGACCACTGACAGATTGCCTAACTCTGGTCACGTGCCTCCAACTTTGGGAAGCTGTGGGTATTGTGTAAAGAAAATAAGTTAAACACATTTCAGAAGCAGCTTGGTACTGATTTGGGGAGTCAAGTAAATTTCAACTACAAACCTCAAAATAAATATTTATCAGTTATGGTAAAAGTTCAGCTGTAGGGCAGAAGCAGCAGATAAAAAGCAAAAGGAGGCAGATTATGCTTCCCTGACTGCAGTTTGTTCACCAACCTTAAATTCAGATGTGCACGTTCCTCTGAGCGTGTGTGTGTGGTAGGGATGGGGGAAGAGGGTGGTGGTAGGAGGCCAAGGTTTACCACTTCATCAGCACTCCAATTTCACTGTAAAGAGTTTGAAGAAACTGATTTTACCAGCCAGGTTTATGTTATGTGACAAATTTGTCTGATAGAGAGACTTGTGAAGTCCACATACAACCCCGTTTGCACAATAAAAAGCTGTTACCCGCCAGGTGTTTTGAGGTAGTGTGTGATCCATATTAGGATTCTGTCTTTAGGATTAGTCTAAATAAGAAAATAGGAAGGATCAAAAGCAAAGCATCTCAGCTAAGCAATTTATATTCTAGTTAGCATTTGGTGGAAGAGGAAAATTGAAGTCGTTCCTACAGAAAACGTATGTAATTCAGATATCAAAGACCTTTTTTCCATTCTAGGCTCAGTCATTGGTCATTCAGTATGTAACGTTTTAGATTTAGGGCAGTGCAGAGGATATCTGGGACACTAGTGATGAACAGAAATGTCTTCTTAGGGAAAGGCTAAATGAGCTTTTCCATTACTTACAGGGCACCCTGCAGATCAAAAAGTGTTTCGCAGGCTTAATACACTGGAGTTTCCCACTAGCCCTGATTTCATAAATGAGAAACCAGAAGCCCAGGAGTTAGGTGACTCCACCCGGCATAGCTATTTAGTGTCGAAGCCATGGAGGATATGCAAGCATTTGACACCACACTCTTCCACAATTCCTTTATCAAGGACCAGTTTCCCAGTAGGCAATCCAGGAGAAAGAGACCAATCCAGAGCTGAAGGAAGGAAGGAAGGAAAAAAGGAAAGAAGGAAGGGAGGGAGGGAGGGAGAAAAAGAAGGAAGGAAGGAAGGACCAATTTGAAAAATAATCAATTTTTTTACCTAGGCTTCGGTGAATCCCTCCCTCTCCCCACACCAATGTACCTCTTGGATAAATACGTTAAAGATTACTTGCAGGCAGAACTACTTGTGTTACAGGACAAGTATTTCTATTTTCCCCATGGCTCTTCCCTGTGTCCAGAAGCCACTACTGCCTCTAAAAGAAGACCACAAGGCAGACACCCAGAGACAACTGTGTCTCCAACTAGGAAGCAAGCAGAAGCTCTATCACCGCCCACAGCAAAGATTCAAAATTGGGGTTATGTGGAAACCTTCACTGAATTCGTGTATTTAGTTTTCCGGTTCACCCTACGTTACGCAGGAGTTGAGATTCCCTCCCAACGCTGAGAAAAGTGCATTTTCTTTCTCTGCCAACACTGCTGGATCCGAGGCTCCAGGAGGAACTGGTAGCAAAGCAGGCGTTTTGGGACAGCACCTGTGATTGCTCTGTGACGCTGACTTCCTCTCTCCGTTTCATCCAGAAATACAAGCTTATTTATTTATTTATTTTAATTCTCCCTCTCTTGCTAGCAACCTGTGGCCTTGGCATCTGACTGGTGCGGCAAGGAAGGAGGATGGTAGGCAAGCGCTACTGTGCCCAACCCGGAGCTGCCTCTTCGCAGTCATCAGGACCAAGTCCCCCATTACAGCTCCTGTGGAAGGGTCTGGAGGTACCTGCGTCCGGGGCAGGAAACCATGAATGTGCCCTTCTGCCCCCTCCCATTTCTGCCCCTCTTTGAGCTCCCGTCCTTAACTGAAGAGCCGGTGACTATTGGCTGAAGTTGCCCCAGCGATTTGCATGAACCGAGAGGAGGGAGTGTCTTCTGCCGCCCTCCCTTCCCGAGCGCGCTGACTGCAGCCTCCCAGGGAATGCGCGGCCGAGGGAATGCGCGCAGCTCGCGGGCCCTGGCAGTGAGCTGGTGCCCGGCGACCTGGCACCCGCGCCTGGATATGGGGCGTCTACCTCGTCCCAAGAGCAGCACCAGCCACAGGAATCTGCCGGTAAGGGTTAGGGTCCAGGAGCCCCGCGCCCCCGACAAGTTGCAGTATCGTAAAGCAATTTCCACTCAGATGGTTTTTCAAACCTTCCACCTTCATCTAAACTTCAGAGGAAGGATGGCGCGGGGAGGGAAAGGGAGTTTGGGATAATGTCTTCTTTTAACAAGGAACAGGCAAGTCCTTGGATCAGGAGAGGAAGTTTCTGAAGCAAGAAATGTATCCAGATGAGGTGGAGGGGGACGGGGGTGCGCTCGATCCGCTTTAGATACGGGGTTCGGGGATCGTTTTCTGCTGCCGGCGTCTGGCTGTGACTGAAACTGACAATTTGTTTTTGCATAACCATTTTCTGCGTTTACAATGCTTCCCCCTAAGGGAGGGGGGATTAGTGACGGCTTGGTAAGGAGTGGAATTTTATCCTTTCGGTCTGATTTCAGATGTGACCTAAAATAAAAATCACTCTTTCCGACCTGAGACCTAAAGTGTTGGAGGTGGAGGAAGGAGTGTTAGCATTTTTTCCATGTTATTAATATTGCGATTGTGGTTGTTTTACGGTTCTCCTAGTAAGGGATGTCACACGCTGCGTGTTCCAGCACTCTAATGGCAGAATCACTTCGAGGAGAAATAAATCGCCCACCTTTCAGTGCTCTCTACTGCCAGCCCCCTCCCTCCCCATCGCCTACCCTGGAGGTTTCCCTGGCGCGTTGCGCAGTCTCCGAGTTGGAATCCTCTCCCTTCCTGCGTGTGTTTCCAGGGATGTTTCATGGTCTGGGGTCCTGAATGTTAGCTGGACGAGGGTGCTGATGGGGAGACTAGCGGGCAAGGCGGGGGAGGAGGGGATAAGAAAGTGAACAGCAAAATTAAGTTTTGGAGCCGATATTGCCCCACAGATCTCTCCTTTGCAGCGGGGTTCTTCTTCGCCCCTTTCTAACTAGAGGTTTCGCTCCGGGAATGGGGATGGGGGGCAGCAAGGATCACAGGGGCACTAGTTTCTCTCTCGGACCCCTATTTCCCTGGTTGTGTAACGAGCTTTCTTCCCTCCCCCCACTCCAGCATCTGTTTCTGTTTGTCCTCTTCGTGGGACCCTTCAGCTGCCTCGCGAGTTACAGCCGGGCCACCGAGCTTCTGTACAGCCTAAACGAGGGACTGCCCGCGGGGGTGCTCATCGGCAGCCTGGCCGAGGACCTGCGGCTGCTGCCCGGGGCTGCAGGGAGGCGGGACGCGCAGTCGCAGCTGCCAGAGCGCACCGGTGCTGAGTGGAACCCCCCTCTCTCCTTCAGCCTGGCCTCCCGGGGACTGAGTGGCCAGTACGTGACCCTAGACAACCGCTCTGGGGAGCTGCACACTTCAGCTCAGGAGATCGACAGGGAGGCCCTGTGTCTTGAAGGGGGCGGAGGGTCGGCGTGGGGCGGCAGCGTTTCCATCTCCTCCTCTCCTTCTTCTGACTCTTGCTTTTTGCTGCTGGATGTGCTTGTCCTGCCTCAGGAATACTTCAGGTTCGTGAAGGTGAAGATCGCCATCAGAGACATCAATGACAACGCTCCGCAGTTCCCTGTTTCCCAGATCTCGGTGTGGGTCCCGGAAAATGCACCTGTAAACACCAGATTGGCCATAGAGCATCCTGCTGTGGACCCAGATGTAGGCATTAATGGGGTGCAGACCTATCGCTTACTGGACTACCATGGTATGTTCACTCTTGACGTGGAGGAGAATGAGAATGGGGAGCGCACTCCCTACCTAATTGTCATGGGTGCTTTGGACAGGGAAACCCAGGACCAGTATGTGAGCATCATCATAGCTGAGGATGGTGGGTCTCCACCACTGCTGGGCAGTGCCACCCTCACCATTGGCATAAGTGACATTAATGACAATTGCCCTCTGTTCACAGACTCACAAATCAATGTCACTGTGTATGGGAATGCTACAGTGGGTACCCCAATTGCAGCTGTCCAAGCTGTGGATAGAGACTTGGGGACCAATGCTCAAATTATCTATTCTTACAGTCAGAAAGTTCCACAAGCGTCTAAGGATTTATTTCACCTGGATGAAAACACTGGCGTTATTAAACTTTTCAGTAAGATTGGAGGAAATGTTCTGCAATCCCACAAGCTCACCATCCTTGCTAATGGACCAGGCTGCATCCCTGCTGTAATCACCGCTCTTGTGTCCATTATCAAAGTTATTTTCAGACCTCCTGAAATTGTCCCTCGTTACATAGCAAACGAGATAGATGGTGTTGTTTATCTGAGAGAACTGGAACCCGTTAACACTCCCATTGCGTTTTTCACCATAAGAGATCCAGAAGGTAAATACAAGGTTAACTGTTACCTGGATGGTGAAGGGCCATTTAGGTTATCACCCTACAAACCATACAATAATGAATATTTACTAGAGACCACAAAACCTATGGACTATGAGCTACAGCAATTCTATGAAATAGCTGTGGTGGCTTGGCACTCTGAGGGATTTCATGTCAAAAGAGTTATTAAAGTGCAACTTTTAGATGATAATGATAATGCTCCAATTTTCCTTCAACCCTTAATAGAACTAACCATCGAAGAAAACAACACACCCAATGCCTTTTTGACTAAGCTATATGCTACAGATGCTGACAGTGGAGAGAGAGGCCAAGTTTCATATTTTCTGGGACCTGATGCTCCATCATATTTTTCCTTAGACAGTGTCACAGGAATTCTGACAGTTTCTACTCAGCTGGACCGAGAAGAGAAAGAAAAGTACAGATACACTGTCAGAGCTGTTGACTGTGGGAAGCCACCCAGAGAATCAGTAGCCACTGTGGCCCTCACAGTGTTGGATAAAAATGACAACAGTCCTAGGTTTATCAACAAGGACTTCAGCTTTTTTGTTCCTGAAAACTTTCCAGGCTATGGCGAGATAGGAGTAATTAGTGTAACAGATGCTGATGCTGGGCGAAATGGCTGGGTTGCCCTCTCGGTGGTGAACCAGAGTGATATTTTTGTCATAGATACAGGAAAGGGCATGCTGAGGGCTAAAGTCTCTTTGGACAGAGAGCAGCAAAGCTCCTATACTTTGTGGGTTGAAGCTGTTGATGGAGGTGAGCCCGCCCTCTCCTCTACTGCAAAAATCACAATTCTCCTTCTAGATATCAATGACAACCCTCCTCTTGTTTTATTTCCTCAGTCTAACATGTCTTATCTGTTAGTACTGCCTTCTACTCTCCCTGGCTCCCCAGTTACAGAAGTCTATGCTGTTGACAAAGACACAGGCATGAATGCTGTCATAGCTTATAGCATCATAGGGAGAAGAGGTCCCAGGCCTGAATCCTTTAGGATTGACCCTAAAACTGGCAATATTACTTTGGAAGAGGCATTAATGCAAACAGATTATGGGCTCCATCGCTTACTGGTGAAAGTGAGTGACCATGGTTATCCCGAGCCTCTCCACTCCACAGTCATGGTGAACCTATTTGTCAATGACACTGTCAGTAATGAGAGTTACATTGAGAGTCTATTAAGAAAGGAACCAGAGATTAACATAGAGGAGAAAGAACCACAGATCTCAATAGAACCAACTCACAGAAAGGTAGAATCTCTGTCCTGTATGCCCACCTTAGTAGCTCTGTCTGTAATAAGCTTGGGTTCCATCACACTGGTCACAGCGATGGGTATATACCTCTGTTTAAGGAAAGGGAAAAAGCACCCCAGGGAAGATGAAAATTTGGAAGTACAGATTCCACTGAAAGGAAAAATTGACTTCCATATGCAAGAGAGAAAGCCAATGGATATTTCTAATATTTGATTATTTCGTGGTGGAGTAACACAGAGAGATGTTTTAACTGACTTGGGATCTTCATCACCTAAAAAGAGTGTGTTGATGGCAGTTCCAATGAAGGACGACTAATTTATAACTTGTTCTATATTGTAAATAGCTGTTTACAGGTTTTTAAATTCAGAGGTTATAAAATGTGTACAGCGTTTTTAAGTGAAAATTAGTACTAACAGCTATAGGACTGTTATTAAAAAAAATGCTTGGACATGGTTTGCAGCTTTCATATACCAAGCAGATGATTGATAAAACCTGGGAGTAAGGTAAGGAAATTGTACAATTTTTTTAATCTAAAAAGTCCTGTCACCACAAGAGGGCATCAGCTGCTCCTTCGCAGGGAACTGAGGTATTGTACTTGACAGTTGTAGATGAAATTAATGAAAGAGTATATTTTAAATATATTGTTTTTAACATTAAACAAATATGAAATTAAAGTAAATTAAATTTCACCCTATTTAAATATATGATAAGAAAAAAAGAAATGCACTTGTAAACAGAATGTCTATTACCTCATAAGTGCATATATAGTTTGAAAGAGAAGGCATTAAAAAGAAGTGCAATTCCTTTTTAGCAAGGATAAAAACATTATCTTGTGTTACAAATTCGACCTGCTGAAGCATATTCCACTTTCTGTGTACTCGAATTGCTTTCTGTTTGCTTTACCACTGCACTAGCTATTATTACAGAGGAAGTATATATATACATATATATGTATGTATATATATATGTATATATATATATATATATATATATATATACATATTCTTTGTTACAGAAAATGTAACTAGACATTGTGCCCAAGAAAAACAGCGAGAAGCAAAGAAATGCTTCAATTGTTAGTTGCTTCATAGATATTCATGACATTTTAGTGCTTTCACAACTTCTTGGTTGTACTTTATACTTGGGTTACATGTTAGATTTTTATAGGCTTAAAATCATCCATCACATAAGAAAATAGAAATCATATTAAAACCGAATTCTTCTAGAGGTTTGTGTACACTATTGGTTGTTTTCGTTGGGCATTTTACAGGAAAGTTATACTGTACCTATCTTTTCGTTGTTGTTTAGGTTTGTTGGCTCCCATTTCTGGATTCCTTTCTTTGGTTTTTGGATTAAGTCCAACAGTTTATTTGTAAGCTCGGCAGCAGATTTCCTTGATAATTTAGCTTTTACTGAATCTCTTGCAATGAAGAAAGCTACTTCATCAGTGATGTATCACTTTCACTTCATTGTGTGAGCTGGAAATATTATTTTATATGAGAGCTATAGCAAAATAATCTGTATAAACAAGGAATGTGTTAGCTCAAACTGGATTATTTTACTTTTTGGCATCATGCATCTCTGTACTGTACCAAAAGTGTTTATATGTCTGCAAATTAAAGGTATATATTTTCATAATTTCTTTCTCATTTTTAGCATTTTATATTTGAACATGGGCTTGTTCTTTCACTGAAGTGCCTGTCATTTGTTTGTTTTTAGGGTTAAATGTGGGTAAACTGTAGTATTCTGCTATACTAAAGTTTATATTAAACTAATTCATTACTCAATTAAACATTGGGTAAATTATTAAAGTTGTGTGTAGTTATAGACATATATATATATATAGATTACACAGTATGCCTAAATGTTTGATGTAAGTTCATATGAAAATGTGCACCCATGTATGTGCACATACATATTAATTTATTATAGATTTAATATCATTATACATTTTGATTTTACCATGTTTATAGCAAATCCTCTGTTAGCTGTGTTGCAATAGCTTGTGATAATTTTTAAAACAAAAATACTCTGCCAGAAAAGAAATTGAATCCAAACAGCCAAGTTCTTTTAGATTTGTATTGATTAACTCATTTATTTTCTTCAATTTGATAATTTCAATAAATAAAATAATAAGTATAGGAGACAGCAAGATTTGTTAAAAAAAAATGTTTTTATTGGAAATTCCTTTTGTATGAGAGGCATCTGAGCTAAGAGACTAAGATCATTTAACCCCCAAAACTTTTCATTTATAATTGATGTATAGCAATGGAGGAAACATCTCTTGCTAGTCATATTTTATTTCTTATTTCTCCTTTTTAGAGAAAGAAATTACATGAGATAAAAGTAACACTATTTATTTTTTAAGAATCCTCCATAAGTGCAATAATTTTACCATCAGTATAAATAACACAATTTTCGATTCATTTTCCAGTTTGAAGAAGGTTCATGTGTTTTGGGGAATGGACTTTATCTCCAGCATGAGAAATGCCTGTAACATTAATAAAAAGATGTATTTCTGAATAACTTCTTGTGGCAGGATTTCCTTTACAAAAACATCTCATTCACATTAAAAACATTAATAACAAGGAAAGCTAAAGTAAATTAAGCTCAAAGATAAAAGCCCCTTTTTACTGACACCTTGTGCTAGAATAGTTGCCAAAATGTATGCTAATCATGTCAATGTTGTTAGTTGAGCTGGCACAAAAATAAATGTTCCATTCATTAAAAACCCTAATATCCATTTAACGGTTTGAGAACCAGTGAGTTCTCTTTGCCAATTTAATGAAGAAGAGATTGCTGTGATCTTTGCACTGCCAAATCCACTCTTATATTGCAGAGAAAATTGTTCATTAATTTCAATCGGGAAATTTAAAACCAACAAGCAGTTTCAGCTACAGGGGAAAAAACAATTTACACTATTTGACTACTTAGGGTAGATTTCCTGACTCTTAAAGGAAAAAAAAAGTTATCCTGGTAGTTATGCTTTCATCAATGGTGGTTGGAAAATAAAAGACAAATACATTATTTTAAAAACAGTTTTGTAGTACTGATGCATTCAAAAAAATCTTTAGTGTTTTGGGTGTAAATCTTTAGTGTTTTGGATGTTCTACATGTATTTTAGGAAAACAGGCATGATTTTACTGTGAAATAACATCACTAGAGCAATTTTTAGGAGTGGTGTATGAGGTTGATTTGATTGCAGTTAAGATCTCTCCCAAGGATTCTAATTTGTGCTCCCCAAAAATGTCTAAATTCATTACTACAAAGGGAAAGATTAAGTAATCCTCTCTACTCTGGAGACTCAGGTTCCAATCTCTCCTCATGATGTGAGGGCTCTCTGAGATCCTGATTCCCCACAGACAATGGAGAATATAATGAAAGTGCAGCACAAACCACCTGGTGTTCTTGAACTCACTGGGCAGCCTCAGTTCATGGAAGCCAGAGAGCCAGAGACATAAATACCTGAGCTTTTTCATCCCTCTGCGGTAGATTTGCTCACTGATAAAAAACAGTCAAAATTGCCACAAAATACCATATTGCTGACTTAGGGAGTCTCTGCCTAGCACTGTGCCTTTCCATGCAAGTAGTCAATAAATATTTATTGAAGAGAATTGATGGGCATGCAAGACTAACCAAAGCAGGGAAAAAAAATCAATTATATAATTTGGATTCCTGAGCTAAAAAGTCCCAGCACAGTATCTTTTCGAGTTATTTTTATTTCTAATAACAAATCATGAATATTTTTCAGATAATATATACATAAATGCATAGTCTATAATAATTTTTAAATGTCACTTCCTGTATATTATTGTCCTTAGATAGTAGAATTTGTAAAATAGACTCCTAAACTAGGAATGTCTTCCTTTAAGGATATAAAACAAAATTGGGTGAACTTTAAAACTTAACCCACTAATGTCAAGAAGAATACCCCGGTGACTTTTTAAACATCAGTCATACAGACATTTATGCCATACATATTTTAGTATCCATATTACAAGTCTTTTAATGAACTTACATCATGCTGTGGAAAGCCAATAAGAAAACCAGTTTCAAAACATTATATGTGATAAATGCCTGCTTTTTGGATGCTATGTGAGCAGGACCTAAGCCAATTTTGGAAAGCCAGAGGAGGCTCCCTAAAGGAGGTGATTTCTATTTTGAACCCTTCTCAGAGGAAGTTATGAGCTTGAAAAAAGGAAAAGTTAGCCAAGAGAAAATGGCAGCGAGGAGGGAAGGGCATTTGAGGAGGAGGGAACACATGCGGCAAAGCACACATGTGGGAGTGAGCGTGTCATGGTTGAAGAGCCACACATATTGCAGTTTTCCTTGGCTAAAGGGATGAAGAGAAAAAAACCGATCACTAACAATGAGCTTGGAGAACATAGTGTACAGCAAATAATGAAGAAATTTGTGTGTCATACTTGGAGTTTACAATTTTATCCAAAAGGCAATGGAACTTTTAAGAATTGAGCCAGTGAGTTTATGTTTTTAAAAGATAACTTTGGCCCTGTGTAGAGTTTCGGTTGAAGAAAATTCTGGATGCTAGTTAAAAGGATGAGTGACAATTTAAGTGAAAAACAGGACCTTAAACCAGGGAACATAAAAAATATCTATCATAGCAGGTAATATAGAATGTAAATAATGTATAGCTGGTTAAACTTAGGATGCCATAGGAATTCATCTGCACAGGATGACCAGAAAGTAAATGGTTTTCATAATTTACTTTTGAGCTTAATGTAAAAATTTGAAAAAGGTACAGAGCTCATTTACTAAACAGTCAGTCAGCAATGAAAGTATTAGAGCCATAACCCCTTCTCCAGTGTTGGGTTTTATGACACAGATGGAATTTTAAAGGCACTAATTTACCCAGTTTATTTCATCTTTATGACTGTCAATTCTCTTCAATTTAACAAACATTACTCTTGTGCCCACGTGACAGATATTCTAATATGAGGTTGACCTCATCAAGAACATTTCATCTAAGGCATTTGTGGTATTTTACTTGTAGTTGTACTAAAAATAGACACATGCAGAAGAGTCCTTCCTGTTGAAAACTTAAGACAATGAAATGTGAAGTGGATAATTTAAGGTGTAAATATAACTTCAAGTGTTACGTGAATGCCAAGGAACAATGATATGATAGTTATAGGCAACTCTTAACAAGATCCAGGAAATATGAACAGGTGAAATGGCTAGAGCCAAGAAGTATGCAGGCATTGGGGTGTACCATCACTATTTTGAACATTTCACATCATTTTAAAAATCAGTTAAGTCACTTAGCATGTCTTATACTTCAAGTATTATGTTGCTTAAAATGAAAAATTTAGTAAGAACCAATACCAAATCGTAGATTTTTCAAACTCAGGCTAAATAAACATTTAGCAGATGTAAAGCCAATATTATATACAGTCCCACCTTCCAGAAAACTCTAATTAATTTCCCCTCCTAAGACTCATCTATGTGTAAATTATGAACTTATTCCCTTTTTCATGTTGGGATGAAAATTAAATGAGATAATTCATGCAAAATATTTTGTACAGATCAAGTGTTTCGCAAATATTATTGCTATTGTAATTAAATGGTGTGCCATGGGAAGTTGTCTTCTCAATTTATTTGCTCATTCTTTCATCAAATTCATTCAACTAATATTTTTATTACATAACAAAATTTCATAAAGTTGATAGTGTTTTAGATTAAAGGCCTATATATACTCAATATGCTCTATTTATTTAAATTATGCATCTTATAGACACTTAGACTTTTTTTTATTCCTATGACAAATTCATACATCCTTTCGCATCTGGAAATGTCCCTTGGACCTTTTCTGTTGATGTACTATTGCATCCATTAGAGTTTAGCCCTTATGACCAATCATGTCCCATTTCATTTCCCTCAAGGTGATAATCCTAATATCATCACCTTGAAGGATAGGATTTCAACATATAATTTTGCAAAGGACACTAACATTCAGACCATACTGTGAGGTGTTTTCAAACATGTCAGAAACTTGTGTTGGAGAGCCCCTTTTCTAAATATTTCTAAGATTTCCCTAGTCCTAGCACTTGACATGCTTTCATCATACTGAATGGGGTTTGAGGTATTCACTACTCAGAAAAGTTCTGGTGACTAGCTACAGAGTTCTTACAGTCCTGACATGGAGAAAACTGTTGTTTAGCGCCCTGCTACTTAACGTCTGGTCTACAAAGGCAGCAGCAGAAGAGAATCTGGGGCCCACTCTGGATCTATTAAACCAGAAACTGCATTTTATAAGATCCCCAGGTGATTTGCACATACATTAAAGTTTGAAAACAATATGTTTGTTGCATTGGCTTTCAAGTCTGTTTGCAAGTTGAAATAAACAAGTGAGTTATAAACAAAACAAAACAAAGCAAATAGCATTTGACACCTGTGTTTCACCTCAGACTATCTTGTTTATTTGGTAGGGGGTTTAAGATGAGAGTCAGGATTCTTAAAAAGCTCCCCAGATGATTTGAAAGTGCAGCAAAGATTAAGAATCACCAGTATGGGTCCCATTATTTCTGTAATTTGCTGTCCTTACTTGGTACTCTAGCATCCAGTCTATTTTGGATATTTTCCCTCATTTGCATCCACTCCCAATCTTCTATAAATTAGGA